CACACACACACACACACACACCCAACCAGACACGTACACACACTCTGGTTTCTGAAGAACCTGGAGTTACACAGTTCAAATTGTACGTCAATGAAGCTCGATGTTGCTCAATCCACCTCCCAAACCACAGGAAATGACCTCATCACTCTTCTGAGCCTCCTTATTGGCCAACTATCGTCAGGAGAAACATCTTAAAGATTCATATGGAGGAGAAGATGGAAATAAATATCTCACACTCACACACACACACACACGTATGTTTCCACACAGGAGTCAGTTAGGGGAAGTAGTGTGGTAGTGTGTGTTTACTCATGTTGAGCTGGCCGGAGGCTTCGACACATTCATCTTTCCATCTCTGATGGACCGAACGCTCACACATTAATGCTCTTCACCCAGTTATGCAGTAACTGTGCAGATCCTTGTAAATGCGCAAACACAACAAACCACTGCAGAAATAAACTACTGTGCAAAGGTTTGTGGTAATATGATGATTTGATGATCAAGAAATATTTCTGATTATTATAAGTGTTGAAACGGTTGCGCTGATGCATCATTTCGTGGAAACCGTGATACATTTTTCAGGATTATTTGATCAATAGAAAGTTCAAAAGAACAGCGTTTATTTGAAATAGAAATCACTTTTGATCAATGTAATGCGTCCTTGACGAATAAAAGTATTCATGTACTTTTGAACAGCAGTAAATATTATAGAATTTGTTGAATATAATGTAATACAACAGAATCTTTTTTTATGAATTCATTCATATATTTAGAACTTCTGAAAAGTCAAAATAACAGAACTACTGAGAGACGGCAAGATCCTGACAAAAACTGTGTGTGTGTATGTTAGGAAAGACTAATGTGTGTGTGTGTGTTTGTATTTAAAACTTGGGGGGGGGGGGTTTCCTTAATTTCTTACTCACCACTATGGCATAAATTTAAAACACACACTCACACACACACACTGTCCTACTGGACGTGAGAGCAGTTCAGACCAGTGATTAAGACACCACATAGAATCTCTCTCTGTGTCAAACACACACACACACACACACACTCGGTTTGCCTATGTTCATGGGGACTCTCCATAGACATAATGGTTTTTATACTGTATACTGTACAAACGCTATATTCTCTCCTCACGCTAACCCTACCCTTAAACCCGCCCATCACACACACACACACACACACACTAACCCGACCCCTAAGCCTACCCATCACTCACACACACACACACACACACACACACACACACACACACACACACACACACACACACACACACACACACTAATCCTACCCTACCCCTAAACCCACCCACCCATCACACACACACACACACACACACACACACACACACACACACTAACCCTACCCATCACCACACACTACCCCTAAACCTACCCATCACTCTCACACACACACACACACACACACACACACACACACACACACACACACACACACACACACACACACACACACACACACACACACACACACACACACTAACCCTACCCATCACCACACACACACACACACACACACTAACCCTACCCTACCCCTAAACCTACCATCACTCTCACTCTCACACACACACACACACACACACACACACACACACACACACACACACACACACACACACACACACACACACAATCCCTAAAACTTTCTGCATTTTTACATTTAAAAAAAAATCACTTAGTATAATTGAGTTGTTTTCCTCATGGAGCAAGTATTCTGGTATTGTAACTGACCCGAACCTTTGGTCAGCAGTGGACATTATAGAATTTGTTGAATATGAAGTAGGCTATAGAACAGAATCCTATTCCATTATGGAATCATTTATGTTTATTTGGAACTTCAAAATAGCAACAAAGAACTAGTGATAAACATCAAGAGCCACAAACAGTGTGTGTTATTAGGAAAAACTAAGAGGTAGGTGTGTGTGTAGTGACTGTGTGTGTGTGTGTGTGTGTTTAGTGACTGTGTGTGTGAGTGTGTGTGTGTGTGTGTGTGTGTGTGTGTGTGTGTGTGTGTGTGTGTGTGTGTGTGTGTGTGTGTGTGTGTGTGTGTGTGTGTTTAGTGACTCTGTGTGTGTGTGTGTTTGTGTGTGTGTGTATTTAAAACTGGGGTTTTCCTTTCGGTTCTTACTCACTCACACACACACACATACACACACACACACACACACACACACTTAAACGAGAGCATTTCACAAATGTCTAGTCTTTTATGTAAAGTGGATTATGAACTTTGAACTAACCTTATGTTTTCCAATATTAAAGTTCCCTTTGTACATAAAGAGTGTAAAATAAAGCCCTCGGTTGTGATGAAAAAGTGTTATTTTAGAGTTATTTGATGATGTGTGTGTGTGTGTGTGTGTGTGGGGGGGGGGGGGGGGGGGGGGGGGGGGATAACCGGTGTTAAATCAGGAATGTTGATGAGGATCAGATTAGCGGCTCTTCCTTTCACGACAGACGCTGAACGAGTGTGTATAAGTTTCGCAGGCTGTTATCTGAATTCCTTTCCTCTTACACTCCTCCTTCCCGCCTCAACGCTCCGTCAATCACGGCTGAGTTCTGGCCGGAGATTAATGACACTGCGCTGGTTTGATGTTGCTCTGTTTCAGTGAGCGTGAGTGTGTGTGTGTGTGTGTGTGTGTGTGTGTGTGTGTGTGTGTGTGTGTGTGTGTGTGTGTGTGTGTGTGTGTGTGCGGGTGTTTCGGCGTGTGTCTCCATCTGTCAAACGCGCTGTTTATCCGAGGCTTCTGTGAGTCGACCGCAGCTCGCGTGATTCAGATCCGTGAGTCATGAAGAGCGACTCAACAATCTGTCCCCGGGGAGAGAGAGAGTCTTGCTTTCTATCTTTCTATCTATCCATCTATCCATCCACCCATCCATCCTTCTTTCCTTCCTTCCTTCTTTCCTTCCATCCATCCATCCATCGCTCCTTTCTTTGTTCCATCCACCCATCATTCATTCGTTCGTTCGTTCCATCCATCCTTCCTTCCTTCTTTCCTTCCTTCCTTCCATCGCTCCTTTCTTCGTTCCATCCACCCATCATTCATTCGTTCGTTCCATCCATCCTTCCTTCCTTCTTTCCTTCCTTCCTTCCATCCATCGTTACTTTCTTCGTT